AGCAATTTTGTCGGCGATTTTGTGTTTCTGACGGATGCAAATGAGTGAACTCGCACACAACAGTATAGAGTCGCTTTTCATCCAAGACAAACTTTTCGTCCAAGACAAACTTCTCATCCAAGACAAACTTCTCATTCAAGACAAACTTCTTATTCAAGACAAACTTCTTATTCAAGACAAACTTCTCATTCAAGACAAACTTCTTATTCAAGACAAACTTCTCATCCAAGACAAACTTCTCATTCAAGACAAACTTTTCATCCAAGACAAACTTCTTATTCAAGACAAACTTTTCATCCAAGACAAACTTCTTATTCAAGACAAACTTTTCATCCAAGACAAACTTCTTATTCAAGACAAACTTCTCATTCAAGACAAACTTCTCATCCAAGACAAACTTCTCATCCAAGACAAACTTTTCATCCAATTAGACAAACTTCTCATTCAAGACAAATTTTTCATTCAAAACAAATGTTTTGTCCAAGACAAACTTCTCATCCAAGACAAACTTTTCATCCAATTAGACAAAATTCTCATTCAAGACAAACTTCTTATTCAAGACAAACTTCTCATTCAAAACAAACTTCTCATTCAAAACAAATGTTTTGTCCAAGACAAACTTTTCATTCAAGACAAACGTCTCATTCAAAACAAACTTTTCATTCAAGACAAACTTTTCATTCAAAACAAACTTTTCATTCAAGACAAACTTTTCATTCCAGACAAACTTCTCATTCAAAACAAATGTTTCGTCCAAGACAAACTTCTCATCCAATTTTTATCCAAATTGAACCAAATCCTTTTATGAATTTATCTTTGGCGTATAATCGTTAGCTCCCCAATTTTTTGTATTAAAAAATACACTTTTCTCGATTTTTTGCAAAATTCGGGACTGGGCTCATACTTTTGGCAGGCACTGTAACTATGAAAAATATTTACAAATTATAACAGGGAAGTTCAGAGATTGCTGAAAAAGTTTTTCCTAATTGTAAATATACCACTAGAGAGTTTACGGAACATTCACAAATATGACTGATGACTATGATGTCATTTTCTGTATAGCTGTGTCAATTTCTGCCCAGCCAGGAGTGAAGGGATGGTTCTCAGATAACCGTCACCATGTTCTCTATGCTGTCATGGGACTGGTTATTGTGATACTCTTTGTCATCATATTATGGCTTCTTCATGATAACAGGTAAATTATAGTAAATATGATTTTAAGTCCCTTGTTTGGAATGGCGAATAATGTCAGTCTTAGTTTGCCACGTAAATTTATTCAGCATTGCGTATATTAATGGCCGTTCTTATTTCCTTTCTTTTTATTTTATTCTCATTCAAATAGTATATTGGTAAAAAAATATTGCATAACATTAGAATGTAATTCAATGATTCGCTCAACCGCTTGGTTATTTATTCATACGTAGACGGTCGTGAGCTCGAAATAGTAATAGTAGTAGACGGTATTTATTTAAAGTCAATACATAGGGAGTGATTACTCAATCTCTCTCCATAGGCTCATGTTAAAAATGCTCGACAGGACTAAAGCAGATGCATGCGCTCCTTTAACCGTCGTGCACGTTTTTAAAAACTTCCGTTCATTTCATTTTTTTTTCTTTTTATATACTTAAATGAACTACTTATGCATGTTAATAATGTATATATAATAAATAAATAAGTTGATTTGATTTGATCCTATATTGTTCAAACCCGCTATGAAGTTTGGAAGCGCCCAATTTGAATTTGGAGTTAGACCGTTCTGCAGCCATGTGTCGATACTTCTGAAGATGAACAGCAGCTCCAGCCTACTAAAACGTCCAAACAATATATTCACCAATCATTTACTGCCATCACCACCCAATAACAACAGAACAGAAACCAGATCATCTCATCTTGAGTGATTTGTCACACACAAGACCACCACATACCAAAAATCATATTTTTAAACAGATCGACTAGATTGTGAAATGTACTGCCAAGGGATTTGACAGGTCATGCATGACACCAGCTTAATTAAGTCAGTTCAAAAATGGACTTTTCAAGTATTACCAATAATCAATGTGGAATCGTGGATGATCTAAGAACATGGTCATGGAAATCTATAATTTTGTCTTGGAACAAGTCTCGGAATCTGTCCTGTAAAATATCGTGTTGTCATCAGTGTTTATAGTTTGTTTGTTTGTTTGTTTGTTTGTTTGTTTGTTTGTTTGTTTGTTTGTTTGTTTGTTTGTTTGTTTGTTTGTTTGTTTGTTTGTTTGTTTGTTTGTTTGTTTGTTGTTTGTTTGTTTGTTTGTTTGTTTGTTTGTTTGTTTGTTGTTGTTTGTTTGTTGTTGTTTGTTTGTTGTTTGTTTGTTTGTTTGTTTGTTTGTTTGTTTGTTTGTTTGTTTGTTTGTTTGTTTGTTTGTTTGTTTGCTTGTTTGTTTGTTTGTTTGTTTGTTTGTTTGTTTGTTTGTTTGTTTGTTTGTTTGTTTGTTTGTTTGTTTGTTTGTTTGTCTGTCTGTCTGTCTGTCTGTCTGTTTGTTTGTTTGTTTGTTTGTTTGTTTGTTTGTTTGTTTGTTTGTTTGTTTGTTTGTTTGTTTGTTTGTTTGTTCGTTTGTTTGTTTGTTTGTTTGTTTGTTTGTTTGTTTGTTTGTTTGTTTGTTTGTTTGTTTGTTTGTTTGTTTGTTTGTTTGTTTGTTTGTTTGTTTGTTTGTTTGTATCTTATTATCTGTATAAGGTGTACCTGCCATCTGTTTTTATATGTCTTGTATATGTCATATGCAGCATGTTCTTTGGCAAAGTTAATTAAATAAATAAATAAATATTGATCCCTGCTGTAAGATTGTTAAAGTTGATTGCAATGAATTCTCAGCCTAAAGCGGGTTTTTATTAGGCGGAATTTTGCGCGCGGAGCGGAATTTTTTTTTGTCTTCTAATTAGTCCCACCCGAGAAATTACAAGACAAAGAAAAATTGCGCTCCGCGCGCAAAATTCTGCCTAGTGGAAAACAACCTTTAGGCAGCAATTCTTACCGTATCTATCTTCTTTTTCTGTGCTCATCAGGAAATATAGAAAATCAGGTGCAACAGTGGCTAAGAAGAATAAAAATAAATCATCTATTGATAAAGAAGTCGTGTAATGCTGAAAAGTTGAAGTTGACGACAAAGTTTGCGTTTGTATAGGCACTTCCCGAATTTGCTTGAGCGCATGCGAAACAATAACTTGAAATCGGGGCAGACGATGCAATCCATTGTAAATTAGGCCATTGCCAGGTAGCAAAAATTCGGGAATTGTCTGTTGTTGGGTTGATGTTCAAATAAGATAAAATCTTATATTACAGTAAATTGAATACAAAACAAGTGAAACTCCAAATGTTATCGATCTTTGGAGTTTCATTTGTTTTCTATTTTGTTAAAATACTCAGTGGTTTTAAAATGTTTTGGTAAATTGAATAAGTTTAAACTTTAATTAAAGGTATATATAATGTATGATCAATTGCTGATCTTAAAGGTGCCCTACAGTCCGATCTGCGCATGTGCAAAAAGGAGCCTACTTTTTATGATACAAACAGTTTAACTATGTTTTGGGTTCTTGCAAAGCCTGATTGTTGTTTCTTGATCATTTATTATACTCTAGAAGCTTGAAAATATAAATAGTTGTCGAATAAAGCTCAATATTTTGGACACAAAAATGTAAACAAAGACTTTGTTTACATACGGGCTGTAGGGCACCTTTAACCTTGGGTAATTGTAATTTTGTAAATAATTAGATACAGTATCATTCTATATAATGTATTTTATATAGTTTGTAATTGAGTAAGTTGTTTTTTTCTTGTTGTATTATACAATATGTAATTGGAATTAAAGCTAGTTATTTCAAATTATTAAAGCTAGTTATTTCTTATTGAAATTAAGCTCATTTCGACCTTTTTTTTAGAAAGTGCTATCCTGTATCTTTCTGAGATCAGCTAGTGAGCAGCGACTTTCCGAGATCAGTGAGCTTGACCAAGATTAGTTACGTTTATAGATCAGAATTTGTAGTCCAGTTAACCGCTATCGGTTCTTTTCAGATCAGGAAGCATAGTCCAGATATTTGAGATCAGTCAATCCAATTGACAGTCCAGTTTGCGCAAGTCGTATTGAGATCAGAAACATAGGGGTGACTCCGGTTTGATAATGAGGTCAGTTTCTTAAATTATTAATCAGGGGGGAGGGGGGCGTTTATACAAAACGCGTTGCCCCTGGGCATACCATATAAGGTAATGATATCCTGCTGTTA